ACTGCAGCACTGCTCAGTATCCTCCGTGGCCCAACCCCACCTAAACTAGTTCCTCTGCTTTGCTGATGGGGTGGGAATGTGTCCTTTCCCCAGGTTGGGTACTGAGTTTCCCTGTAGTGATGACACAAGGGCCTTCAGCAAAGGGCCGACAGTGTGGATACTGTAGGAGAGTCAAGGATCGGTGGGCAGGGCAGCAGAGGGGTCAGTGGGCCAACCCTGACCCTTGGGTGCTGGCACACTTCAGCCTCCCTTGAGGTTTCAATTCATATTGTCGCCTCTGGGTGCCTATTTCCCTGTCGAGACCTGCCCACATCAGAGCCAATGCCAGCCCCACAGAGCTCCATCCAGACAGGCTCCTCTTTCCTGACAGCAAACTGAAGCCAGCCCTGGAGCCAGCCCTGGAATCGCGCCTCCTCTACACCGCCCTCCACAAGACCTTCCTGATGGCCACAGGGCACAACAGCCAGCACATCCAGGTACCTCTTTCTCTCACCGCACAGTCCCACCAGCCATCCCCTGGCAGACATGGCACAGGGCTTTCCAGCACTGACCCTCTTGGCTCTCTGTCCTCTTCCAGGGCATGAAGCAGATCAGCGTGGAGTACCTGGAGGCCATGCTGAGGTGCCTGCTGGCAACTGCACCCAGCTGGGCCAGGCTGCACTTCATCGGGCAGGTGAGCCCCATGGGGAGAGCCTGGGTTTGGGGCAGGGGCAGTCTCAATGGCCTGTGCACTGCAGGAGCTGGTCCTCAGAGAAGAATCCCTGGCTCCTTCCTTGGGATAGCAGTCTGGTGCAAGTTCAGCATGCCTATCCCTCAGGCATTATCCAGCGAGTGGTAGATGCCACTTTAGATCTTGGGTTTGAAACTTGGCAGGGATACAGGATTTTGTCTCCTTCCTGTCATGCTGTCTATGTTCAGGGACGAGAGGAGCAGCCCCGAGACAGAATCTGCTCCCAGCTTTAAGAGACAAGAACCAGCCCTGAGATGCAGAGGGAGGGGTCGGGGCTGGGAAAGGGCGTTTGGGGGCAGGGCCGTGCTGGGTGCAACAATCCCTTCTTACAGCGTTTGGCCCCCTGAGGCTGATGTTTTACCCTGGGCTTAAAGGGGCAGCACGCGGGAGGGGGCGGGGGTGGGGATCATTGGTACAACAGGAGCACGTGTCCACTGCCCTGCACTTCTTCCTCCCACAGCACTTGACCTTGTGGCTCCAGTTGGAAGATAAGAGGGACAGAGGCACGGCCATCAAGATCACCACCACCCTGCTCTGCTTTGCAGTTTCCCTCCTCCCACAGTTTGAGGTAAATGAGCCTTGTGTCAGGTCCTGACTGCAGGCAGAGGCAGGGCTGGTGAAAAAGCCTGTGGGATAGCAGTGGCAGCGGTAAGTGCGGGATAGGAGAGAGGATCCCTGCATGGCAGAGTGAGGGCTGGGAAATGGCTGTGCTTGATTCAAGGGCTTGTGCTCCTGGCTAAGAGCCCCTGTCTGAGGAGAGGGCAGCAGCCGCC